TATATTATAACCTATTAAATGAAATAATAAATGTATAAGAATGACAGATGTAAAGACGAATAACAATGTATACTTAAAATGGTATGTAAGAGAATTAAAAATTAAAAATTAAAAAAAAAAGATGAGCCAGGACAAGGATGATGGGTCATTGGGGTGGTAATAGCCCAGCTTTTTTTTGTCTTGGAACATGGGGCTCCTGGGGAAGATCAGGATGATGGCGACATAATTGGGCAGTGGAGCATGGGCAATGTTGTCCGAGCACGTTCTTGCTTCCCGAAGCCTCCCTTGGCTGGGAGGGGGCGATGGGGCAGCGTTTGTCAACCTTGGCCACTTTCAGATATGTGGACTTCAACTCCCAGAATCCCCCAGCCAGCCGTGCTTGCGACTGGCCCCAGGAGCCAATCAGCGGTGTCCGTGTGATGATGTCATAAAGGTCCCCCCAGCCTGTTTTTCAGCCCTTGCTCGGAGACCGACTTTTGTGAAATAGCAGCCGGGATCCGGGATCCCTCCTGGATCATGTTAACTCTCCTAAAAACTGGGAAAGAGAATGGAAACTGTAGGAGCCCCGTCCCCTTCCCCATCTCCCCTTCAAGCACGGTTTGAAATCATGATGGAGGGCCCCCTTCGGTGCCTAGCTGGAAGAGAAATGTCTTGTCTGTCCTAATATTGTCTTTTCTGTTGATTTCTAGGTTCAGTTTTCTTCCCACCCCAGGAGAATGAGCGGCAGTTGGTCCAGATGTGTCCCTGGACATTATCGGATACTTCGAGACTCCTCGGATGCGTCTCCGTTTTGGTGAATGTTGGTGAAGCTCCCTTCCGGGGCAGGTGGGCCTCCCAGGTTAAAAGCAGCAGCGGCAACTCCTGATCTCCAGGTTGACCATGATAACTTCACCGTTGGCTGCTCTGTGGCAGGAGAGGAACTAGTCCAAAGAACCCGTCCTTGGTTTGAAGAACTCTGCAACCTTCTCCTTTTGAATCAATGCATGGACAGGAGTCTCCAAGCTGGGCTGATTTATTGAGAGTACGGCACTGAGGACCCAACCGTGGCACCGGATTCGTGGCATCAGACCCGTGGCCTCTCAGACGGCAGAAAGAGGTGTCCTCCTCTCCGCTCAGAAGGGTGTTTCCCAAGTGCCCCCTTTGCTCGTTTCTCCACCCGGGCTCCGTGAAAATCCGTAATGAGGTTGACATGGCCAAGCTCTTGCTGAAATTCCAAAGATACTTCCGGCGGAAACCCATCCGTTTCTTCACCTTGATCGCGCTCTACCTGACGGCTGGCAGTCTGGTCTTCCTCCATGCCGGCTTCAGCGGGGAGACGAGGGTCCCGGGGGCTGCCCCCAGGCCCAGCAACGGTGCTGCGGAAGGGACCGAAGCCCAGTCGTTGGGGGCGCTGCCACTTGGCAGGGAGTTGAGAGCGATGCCGGAGTCTCTGGTCTTGGCCCGGAGGTACGGGACTTGGTTCAAGAACCCGCCGAAGGAGGCAGCTGGGCGGAGCAGAGGTGATTATGGGGAGACGTGGAGCCGGGTGCTCAAGGGGAAGAGCGCTCTTGAGAAGGAGGAAGAGAGAGGTAACGTCCCTTCGGGGAAAGAACTTGGTTCAGGATGAATTGGATGAATAGCATGCAGAGAACGGAAATTAAAACCTTCTTTTTATCCCGGGTCTTTGGAAGGTCCTTGAGTTGCCTTCATTGGATTGTCTATGTTTTGGGGAAAGGCTGCCACTTAAGATCACATTGGTCTTTTTTGTTTTAGAAAGTTTATTTTATTCTTCTCTTTCAAATTCATTCACAAATATACACACTCTTATAATTACTTTTAACATTTATCTATTCATCGTTAATCTTTATCATTATTTTCTTGCAAACATATAGAATACAGTTCGGCTCACTTTCTTACCACTCTATACCTCCATCTTATTACAGAGCCGAGGTGGCGCAGTGGGTAGAGTGCAGTACTGCAGGCCACTTCAGCTGACTGCTATCTGCAGTTCGGCGGTTCAAATCTCACCAGCTCA